AAGTTGAGACCAGAGTGCATAGGCCGTCGTACATGGGCATTGGCTTTTTTCAAAATGTGCCGTTTTGAGAAGATTTAATTTATTCTATTGAATTACAGATCTACACTAACCAGTTAAACAGAGTGAAGATATCGAGTAATATTTGTCAAACAGCTAGAGAAAAAATTGCAGAAAATTGTTCAAAAACCTTGCAGAAAAGTAACTGTAAAAAACGGAAATATTTATATAATACAAACTCTGCAGCTTAATGGGTTAAACATGACCCAAAAAGTTTAGTCATGCACTAGCTTACCTGGGTATTGAGGGAATGAAATTTCTTTCTGTTGATATATACAAAGGATCCTTGGTTGGTGCTCTAATCCTTATGTGGGTTCCATCTATAACTCCAGTTATTCTTGGGAATCCTCGATTAGCAAAAATTGTTCATTATTGTATGCATCTCATTTCCTGATTAATTAAGAAAATGTTAAAACACTAGCATTGCATTGTACAACCATACATAGTACATAATTATATCATAATTATTGAAAAATCATATTACATAATTATATTCATAATTATTAAAACCATATTAAAACTAAAAATTTTCCCCTCAAATAACTTACCACTTGGCCATATGATATACTGCTGTTTCAGGTCAACACATGCTCCTGACACTCGGAATAAAATCCTTTCTAAACTGCTAAGTGTCATGTTGAATCTGTCTGACATGGATCGCAAGACTTCTATGTTAGATATGAACCAAATAAACGTCAAAACTTTTCTAAGGGAATAGCTGCTCTTCCAAGTGGTTTCCTGGAGGAATTAGTCTAGTGCCTGCTATTTCTCTGCATAAAAGCTCAACCGTTCCTCTTGACATGCGAAACTGACATCTAGATTCATCCAGCAAATACAATGGTATGATTTGCTTCATAAAAATCTTGATTTCTTTCAAGATTCCTCCTCATGAAAGCCAAAATATTGATATCTCTGTCATCATCATTGTTTAGAAGCATATAGGTATCCTCATAAAAGTTATCCAAAACTTCTTCCAAAGTTACAAACAACAGAGCCGCCATCTTGGAATTATTAAATACTTCAGTGCCTTCCGGCCAGTCACTCAAATTGAAAGCACATAATCTGAATGGGATTTTCTATCCGAAATTTTGCTTACCATTAGCACAGTTGCAAACCTGATGGGTTTTCCATGTAAATGGTAAACAACCAGGCTTCAATTTAAGGTAAAATTCAACCACAAATGCTTCGCAAAACGCCTTCAAAGTGTTCTTTATAAAACTAAACTGCCTTTACTTTAATTAAATGGCTTTATTGATAAACTTTGAGTTTGCAATAAAATGATTTCAAATTCTCACATGCAAATAACTTATTGCTTTCTTTTTTATTTAATTTAAAAAAAAATCAATATAATAAACTAGGGATCCAAGGATAGTGTGAAGTTTCAAATTTAAAAAGACACTGCAAGAACTATATAGGGTCGCCGACAACCTAGAAAAGCTTGATGGCTTACACTACAAAATAAACAGTTACCAAAGGCATTTCATCTCATTATTTATTGCTTTTAATATGCTTGGCACACAAGTAGCGTGACGTTTGAAACAAGCCTACCACATCAGAAACGTGCCTTGTGAAACTGATGCAATTCATCTATTTATTGTGTCACCAACAACCAAATTTTGCATATTCTAAATTTTCGTTTACATTTGCAGCTGTCGCTAAAAGCATCCCCACGAGGCTACTGCTATGCTAAATTTATCTAATAAACTATAATTGAAATAGCTGTATAAGATATGTTATGAATAATAAGCACTACGTCGTTACATCATTAAAGAACGCATTTTATCCTCACCCGTTCCGTATTTTATCTGCATATCCGTTCCGTGGACCGCTCCATCCGCTTCCGCATTTTAACTTAATTGTGACATGTTTCACAATAACAAGTTTTATTGACCTTTGACTTTTCCCAGTGTGACGTGTGTCTATTTTCAGCTTTTCGCATGTGTTGAATATAAATATCACTTTAGATTTCAATAGTTTCACATAGTTATAGCAGTGTTTAAAACATTTTTGACAAGCTTTGATACAGTTCTGTGTACAGAATACTACAGATTGATTGTCGTAAGATCTGGTAGAGTCATCGTTGCACTGAATACGAGTTTGCACCGTTGACAACAGCGTTGTGCTAGACACTAGTTAGACAGTAAACAAAGGCACGGTCCGTGAATGTACGTGTTGGCTACATGTACCTCTTTTGCATAAAGCTTGTTGGCGAGCCAATTAAGCCATTAGCGATAACACGTTAGCGATAACACCTAAACACGTTGGCTATCTCATCTTTCTAATATTTATACAAGGAGCTCTGACTCAACTGATTCCTTTAGTCTCGTAAGTTTTTTTCGTCGTAAACGCCGTACAAACGTTTACCCGCTTCTGTTTATTAATAGTTGTTTATGCTTTATTGGTCTGATACAAATCTGATGCAATTTTTTGCTCTTTGTACTGAGTATAGCCATCTATTCTGTGATGTAGCACCTTATACAGTCAATGAGAATGTGTAATGAATACACAGTCTAAATAATATCGACGGTAATGCATAACATCAATTTATATATTGTATTACTATTATTGCATAGAATCTCAAAGATTTTCTCAATATTCATGTCTGAAATGTTTATATATACTTGAAAACAACACTGTCTCGCTTCTGCCTGCACGTACTGTACCTCTGTATAATGAGTATGCCGTGAAAAAATAATATCGGCACTCAATTGAATGCCTAGAAGCAAGATTTTCGACTCAATATTTACGTCTGAAATGTTTATACACTTAACTGCACTGTCTAGGCGGTCTAGCTCCTTCCTAGCTCTCTATAATGAATATACCGTCTAAATATTATCGGCACTTATTAAACTGAACGCCTGTAATGCATAAGATCAATTTATATATTGTGTAGATTTTCAAAGATTTACTCAATATTCATGTCTGAAATTTTTATATACTTGAAAACAACACTGTCTCGCTTCTGCCTACGTACTGTACCTCTGTATAATGAGAATACTGTGAAAATAATATCGGCACTCAAATGAATGCCTAGAATCAAGATATTCAACTCAATATTTATGTCTGAAATGTTTACACACTTGACTGCACTGTCTAGGCGGTCTAGCTCCTTCCTAGCTCTGTATAATGAATATACCGTCTAAATATTATCGGCACTTAATTGAATGCCCATAATGCATAAGATCAATTTATATATTGTGTAGATTTTCAAAGATTTACTCAATATTCACGTCTGAAATCTTTATACATCTGAAAACAACACTGTCACCCCTTCCTAGCATATCGTCACACCATCGTGATCTACGGCTTGATAGCGCATGCGCATTTGCGCTACTAAAGAAAAAATCGGGTGTTCCGGGGTAAAGATCCTTTACACAACATGAGAAGCGAATGTTCTAAAATTTACCAAAAAATTACAATAACGAAAGCGATTCCTCGAAATTTTTGTGAACTTGGCAAAAGGATAACAGAATATGTAAATAAGTTAACTGAATTTGCCTAAATAACCTTCAAAGTACTCACTAAGTACAATAAATCACTACAAACATAAATCGTATACACCCCCCGGAAAGTTTACTCTATGACTGTTTGACTGATTCGTGTGAATTTGCCAGCCATCACAATAGTGTGAAGTGAAACTTCACACTAAAAAGGGAATCAATAGTAAAGATAAACTGAAATTATATGCTGTCTTGTTTAGTTGTTTCATATACGCAAAGGCTGTCAGGTTTTAAAGCAATTATAAAATCAATATTTAAAACAAATTTACCTTCGTTAACGTCAGCTCCCTCCTTTTAGCCGATTCTTTTGCCCATTCTAGTGAGAAATTATTTTGAAATTTACAAAATCTTGCAAAAATGCGAGCAAAAGTGAAATATATTTGCAAGAAATTTATCAATCATCAAATCAAGAAATGTTTGCTATTTCACTGTCATCTTGAAGTCGTTATAATGCAAACTTAAAATTGGACCAATCAGTGTCGGCTATTCATGACAGTCCGCCATATTTTTGAGATTAGAAACATTGTTGGTGAGCCACGCCCGCAATGATTGATGAACTTTAGACTTCGCTAATGCTTTTGTTTCCCTGGGTGTAAATAGCCTGGGGGGAAATGGCGATAGTAAATACATATTTAAGTGCAATCTAAAATTATATCTTCTTTCTTCAGAAGATTATTAGTTGTACTCACAATAAATGTAAATAAAAATAATTTATAACTTTATAAAGTTAATTTGTATTAGTTTACCTCATATATCTAGAACCTGACATTATCTCATTCTATTCTCCTTTGTTATATTAGTTTTTTTGTAATTTTTTAGGATGGACTACTAGAAAAGCCCTGACAGGCTTGTTAGTCTTCTTCCATATGAAAAAAAAAGAAAAAAGAAAATATGATTAAGTTTCAGTTGATTTAGTCTTATCCATCTCTCTCTCTCTGACAAATTATTAGTATCAATTGATTCAAACTAGTCTTTTGAAAGCATGTGAAATGGCAACGTTTGAAGGCATTTAAACAAAATTGGCATAAATCAGTTTTTCTGTCACTCAGATTTGATGCATGAAATGTCTGCATGAAACCATTTTAGGCATGTGATGCATTCCATATGATTTTCATGTTTTTCAATAAGCTTAGTGCATGAAGAACATTTACTTAAAAGTTGTTCTGACATTTACATGTAAGGAAAGATTTATCTTATATAAAATAAAGTACTAAATTAAACTATGGATCATTTTGATCAAATTGGAATTGGATATATAAAGTATATACTGTAAATATTAATGTTGACCATCTGGTTTGAATACTTTACCATCTATCATAAGCTATAACTTTGCTTTTTTCCCCTCGTGTTTGGCCTTCTTTAATTTTGGATACAATTCCTTTCGAGCTTTAACAATTTCTGCTGGGAATTGCTCCCCTATTACGATATTTGTTCCTCTTAGTTTCATCGCATTCTGACGTATAGTCTCCCTGTCTTGGTGATAATTGAACTTCGCAATAATTGGCCATGGCTTGCTTGCTCACGGTTTTGGTCTCCAGAGGTGTGTGATCTAACAATTTTTATGTTTTTTGTGGCATCTTTCATGCCCATCTTCTCTTCCAGCAGCTTATGAATGATTGGTGTTGTTTCCTCCTCTCTAGTCTCTGGGATATTATAGAAAATTAAATTGTCATGCATTGACCCAGCTTGAAGCTCAATAAGGCTTTTGTTTACAAGTGTATTCTCATTTTCCAGCTTCTCTAATCGTTGTCTTGTACGTTCATCCATTTTCTTTCGCTCTTCATTATCGATCTTTACGTTGTTAACTTCGGCATGCGCAAACTCTATAGAGTCTTTTACAGACTTTAAATCTTGCTCAAATGACTTCACTCTATCCTCAATCTAATCCAGTTTATCAAGCTTCATCATCATCTCGCTCATCATATTAAAAATATCATTCAGATTCTTTTCTTCTCCGGTTTTTTTTCTTTCTTCTTACTCTCTTCATTGTTACATTTTGGACTTTTTGATAGTGTTGCTTTTATGGGCACCTGTACTGGTATTAGAAACGTTTAATGCTTGCGCCGAGTGCTTGGAGGCGTGTTGTTTAGTCACCATCTTATTTTCACTGATGATGAATATGTTCTTAGCTATTTTCACTGCATTTTCGGCCAACCTATTTGATTGTGGGTAATATGGACTCAAGGTCGTGTGATTGAATCCATAACTCTTCACCAAATTTGGAGAAACTCTCGGATGAAAACTGCGGTCCGTTATTGCTGACGACCTCTAGTAGTAGTCCATCGCCACAAGAAATATTTTTCCTTTGAAATCCAGGAGGTCAACACCTATATACGATTCCATGGTCTTTCCGGTAGTGGTGATGAGGTTAATGGTTCTCGTCTTTGAGCTGCTATTTTCACTTGCCAGTCTTCACATTGACCAACTCTACCCTTGATATCTTTTCCGATACCAAACCACCAAACGGCTTCTTTGGCTCTTTTGTTGCACTTGGTGATTCCTGGATGACCATGATATGAATTACTTCCAAATTTATTTTTTTTTTTAATTTTTTTAAATTTTTTTATGCCCTTAAAAAATATCAAGTTATTTACATTTATTTTTCTATTGTTTTGGATAGGCTAGGAGCCTTCTAGAAACCTACTAGGCTTTTTAATTAAGACCCCTATTGACTATACTCACATTGTTTCATTCTATTTAGTCAGTTCGAATAATATATTAGATTGAACAAAGATAAATGCGTATATAACAAGTATAAAATAAAACATTAACATGCATAAAAACTTAATTATATATATTCGAAGTGGAGGATACTATATATGTATATTTACAGTAAAGAAAGTGATAATATGTTTTAAACCATTATACATCCATTGTTGAATATATAATGATTTTTTATTTTAATTTTAAAAGTACTATAAGAGAAAATAGATTTGTATTTAGATGCTATGCTATTCCAAACATCAACTCTTTTGTTAGAAAGAGTATGGATTACATAATTCGTTCTTTTATAAGTCTTGTGAAGCTTAGTTGCATTCCTTGTGCCATGGTCATGTATTTTATTATTGGGTATGAAATAATTTACGAATGTTTCTGGTAAATTCTTCAAATTATGATATCGAAACATAAATAAACTTGTTAGGTATTGATTCAATTTATAAATGTTTAGTATTTTTAACTCCTTAAATATTGGTTCGGTATGTTCAAAGTAAGAATTAAACGTCATTAGACGAATAATCTTTTTCTGAATATTTACTAATTTTTGTGTTCTCTTTTTGTATGTGTTACCCCATATTAGATTGCCGTAAATAAGATATGGATAGACTAATGCATAATAAATTAATTTAAGAGCTTTCAAGTTTATGAAATGTCGGATCCTGACAATGACTGCTGTTGATTTTATAATTTTCTTTGATATTTGCTCTAGATGATCATTCATTGTCAAACATTCATCAACAACAATACCCAAAAATGTTGTCTTTCTAACTTGCTCAATAATTTTATTATTTAAATAAATTGTTATATTATGTTACAATAAACTTTGTTTTTTCTGTATTTATAGATAGTTTATTAATATTTAACCAAACAGCTATTTTATTTATTTCCTCTTGTATTGTTTGGTTTAATGTTTTAAGGCAAGCGTGACTATAAAATATGGTTGTGTCATCAGCAAATAATATATTTGAAATAATATTGCTACAATTCTGGATATCATTTATATACTAAAGAAATAACAAAGGTCCCAGTACTGATCCTTGAGGAACACCACTTGTAATTGTCATATCTTTTGATTTTATTTGGTTAAACTTTACAATTTGCTTCCTGTTCTTTAAATAATTTTCAAACCAGTCTTTGGATATACCCCTTATACCATAATATTCCAGTTTTTTAATAAGAATCTTGTGATTAATCGTATCAAATGCTTTTGATAAATCAAGGAAAATACCAATAGTGTATTTCCCCTGATCTATTGCTCTTGTAATTTTATCAACGAGCTCAATAATCGCATGCTCTGTTGACCTGCCTTTTCTAAACCCATATTGATTTGTTGATAAAACTTTATTTTTTTCAATGAATTTCATTAATCTTTTGCACATTAGTTTTTCCAATAATTTTGAAAAACAAGAAAGAACTGATATTGGTCAATAGTTTGTAAATTTATTATTTTCATTTGCTTTGTAAACCGGAGTTACTACAGCAACTTTTAATTTGTCAGGAATAATTCCATTGAGAAATGTTAAATTGAAAATATGTGTCAATGGTTTAGAAACTTCCTTTGCATGTGATTTAACTATTTGAATGCTAATATCGTCGTGTCCAGGACTTTTATTTGGATTCATACTATTTATTTCAATTACTAATTCATTTTCAGTAATCGGATCAAGAAACATACTGTTGGGATAATTACTAGTGAGGTAATTATCAAAAGTCATGCCTGGGTTCTCTTTAATTTTTTTGCTAGATTTGGTCCAACATTGATAAAGTATTCATTGAATCCATTCGCTATTTTCTTTGGATCATCTATTATATCCACGGAATTGTTTCCAACAAAAGATTTTGGCATTTCCTTCTTTTTCCTATTTTTATTAAGAGCTTTATTTAAGGTATACCATATCATCTTTGTATCGTTTTTATATTTTATTAGTTGCTCTTCATAATACAGTTTCTTTGACACTTTTATTATACGATTTAATTTATTTTTATATCTTTTATACGTATTTTCATTCCTTTTATTCGAGTTTAGTAAGTATGCCTTGTAAAGTTTATGTTTCCTATTTACTGATTTTAAGATGGAGTATGTCATCCATGGGCTCTTATTATCCAGGCGGTGTGCGCAATACGACCGCAAAGCAGTATGGGAGCGATTTTCAGCCATTTTTTGAAAACAACTTGACAAGCGCGGTAAAATATGGTAAGTTCATCTTTAATTTTCTTTGTATTTTATTCATAATTTCGGTAAATTTATGTATCTGACGTTAGAAAAAGTGCTTTTTATTGCTATTATACATTTAACATCCTGACGGATTGTTTCTGTCAACTAATAAATTCGTGACGAATTCGGGTCACAATTTTGCACGGTTGTGGGTGTTCATCTAGACAAGGAAAACATGTGATGGAATACGTTCTCCTATTTGAAAGTTAAGGCCGTTTTTGTTGGATGTGTATTCTACGATGTATAGGCAACGCATTTTTGCCATCGCACCCTATCGCACCTCGAACGGTTTTCTCAGTATTTTTTATTGAAATTTGACATTTTTCTTTGTAGTAATTGACTGGCAAAAGTAAATATGGCTAGCAAAAGAGGGTTCCAATTGTCAACTGGCGATACTCCTGGAAAGCCAAAGAGAAAATTGCCTTCTTTTGAGGGGAAATCAAGGAAGTCTCTCTTCAGTGACAAGAAGCAAGCAGAAGAATGCAAGAAATCTTCAAAACCATTGCCTTGGTCAAGAGAAGAAACGAGTATGTTAGTCCAATATGTATGCTTGTTTTGGAAGGATGCTTGGAACGATAAATGGCCCACTACAAAGGATGAAAGATTTTGGGATGGATGTGCAACTGCAGTAAACAATGCTTGCAATGTACAAAGAACAGGTAAAGCTACTGTTCCATTTTTTTTTGGGGGGGGAGGTGTTTTTATATATGGCCTGGACAAAATTATAAGACCTGTTTGACTAAATACAATTAATTATGATCCCAGGTGATATGCCAACGTTCATTTCATTTATGATTTGGTATTTCTTTTTAGGTACTTCGTGTAGAGCTAGAGTCTTAAAAAGCTTGGCTAAAGACTACAAAACACTAAGTATTGCTGAAGAAGAGTTTGATATTCAGTATGTTCTCCATTCAACACCCAGTACTAATTTTGTGCCTTCAAGTCCTGGTGATATTTCGAACTTCAATAACCATCTTTCCCCAATATTTAAAGAATCACCATGCAGGAAGAAGTCTGATAGTGTTTTGGAAAAACAAAGTGTTGGTGATACCGTCCAAGATTTTATAACAGACTTTAAGTCTGTTATGTCTCAAAGGCTAAGGGAACAAGTACTTAACTATTTGTACAAACTTCTTGTTATCGAACATGGGGGGATGTCTTTATTCCAGTTTGTGAATGCAGATTTTTTGGGAAAAAGCTTGAAAGCAATGAAAACATTGTTTGAAGATGGTAAAAGAAATCTTTTCTACAGTATGGCAAAGTGTTTTGAGAGGCATAGTGATCATGATGATGGAGAAAAGCTAGGCACTAGAATGCCTTTGAATCGTATGCCATTTGGATTAATTGATTATAATTTAAGATTCTTTGCTGCTGATAGTTCACAGAAACTTTTTATTGAGGATCATTATGTTCAATGGCTTGCAACAATGTTCGCACATTTTGGTCACAGGTGGATGTGCTTACATCGGGGTCCTTATTGGCAGTATGAAGTGAGAGAAGATGAATGTTCTACATCAGGAATTGAAGAAAGTAAACCATCACAAGGAAATATTATACAGGATGCTCTGAAACTAAGTGGCATAGATATCTCTTCAACTGATTATGATATTGTTGGGAATGAACAAGTGGAAGGTGATGCACTACATACTTATGCAATTAATTTAGTGGTGTTGGCCAATCTTAAAAGGGTAGCCATGGATATATTACCTCCTGTAGGATGTTTTGCAACATACATAGCCTGTGAACAGGCGTTTATAGGAGACCTACCTGAATATACATCTGTTTGCAGGCTACAACATAAAGTGCTTACTGTGTTAACTCATACACTGAAAATACTGCTTCTTCCACTGATATATTGTAATTTGAACCTTCCCTTTTTATCAGCATAAATAGCACTCATGGCCAGAATTAATTAGTAACTTTTTCAAACAAATTAACATAATTTTCTACCAATTTTTAGAGAATAATACACAAGAAACTGAACATGAACAAATCATGGCAACCACAACATTAGGAATCAGTGAATCTGAAAAGGAATTTAATAGATCCAAAAGTGAAATTATTGACCAACCTGTGTTTCCCGTCCTGCTACCATCACATGAAACATGTAACAATGAGATGCCAGATGCATTGTCCAATCAAAATTCAATGGAGGATTATTATGGTACAGGTTGACATGTACTGTAATTATAATCCCAGGTTTGATGTGCAGTGTCATCATAATATGTGTGCAATGTCAATTTGCACATATTGGTTAAAATATGTATCAATTGTATATCCAAAATTCTTACCTAATAAGCATCACTTCTCAAACTCCCCCTTTTATAATAAACTGCACATCATTATTCACTATTATTACTCGCCTTTTTATCAGCACAATTGGCAATCATGGGCAGAATTAGTAATCTTTTTCAAATGAATTATTGTGTAATATAATTTTCTACAAATTTTTAGAGAATAATACACAAGAAACGGAACATGAACAAGTCATGGCAACCACAAGATTAGGAATCAGTGAATCTGAAAAGGAATTTAATGTATCCGAAAGTGAAATTGTTGAACGACATGTGTTTTCCCTGTGGCTGCCATCACATGAAACATGTAACAATGAAATGCCAGATGCATTGTCCAATCAAGATTCAATGGAGGATTATCATGGTATTAAACCCAATGTTAAGAAGCAGACAAATGTTAACCCATGGAAATTTAATACTCTGAAGGTGATGTATCTGCTCCCTCATATACACTAGTACATATTGTATTGTTTGTTCAAAGAGAGTGACAGAAATTAGAAGTATGTTTAAATATATGCTATGAAACAATTTACACAAAAAACATAGTCCAAATAGTATGCCCATCAGTGGCGGCGGAACAGGGGGGGCCTAGGGGGGTATAAGGGGGAAAATTTGCAACATTTTGTTTAAAAAATGTTTATGCCCAGAAAAAATTTTTGTTATAGGTCCGGGAAAATTTTTATCATCGCCTTTTTTGTATGTTTCTGGAAAAATTTTTTGGTGTGTATGTTCGAAAAAAAAGTGGCGACGGGGGGGAGGGGACGGAGAAAATTTTAATCCCCCAAAAAAATTTAGCCCCCCCCCCCAAAATAAAATATGTTCTGCCTCCCCTGATGCTGCCATTTTTAAGAAAATGAAAATACCATTCTGAATGTCAAAACAATTTTAATCTCTTATTCTCTTCAATTTCTAGAGTAAGGTGAATGTTGCAAGTGTTGGTGTGAGGACAATCCAGATGCACGTTGCCAACACAAATTTTACAAAAACTGTTGATGTTCAGGTAATAAGTAATTTTGAAAGAACATACAATGCTGTGATAATAAACAATAGTTCATTTATAAATACTTTTGGCTTGGTGGTGGTGCTGGTGGGGGGGGGGGGGTACATTTTAATGTATGTACATTAAACACAGTCCCTTTTGGCCATACTGTACATTCATCATATTTTAATTATTTTCCATCTCAACTTATTTAGGTGGAAGCCCTTAAACAAGTGAAGAAAAACCATCCCAGCGGTAGGTGGTGGATTAAAGCTGATGCATGTGATGTGCGATCGGGATTAAGGGAAAGTGTAAAAGGCAAATGGTCTGGAGATGAGGATCTTGGCACTGGGGAATTGCAGAAGCTATATAAGGAATACAATGAAAGATGTAAATCTGTGCAACAAATGAATGTTTTATCACAAGGATTTGACAAACTAAAGTTAGCATTTCAAAGTGACTTGCACTTCCTTGACATTCATGGAACATTGGCTAAGGAAGTATACGAGAAAGCTGTTGATGTACCTGGCAAAAAACAGTCAACCATGATGGAGTTAGCATGGAGTTTAACTGGATTTGAGACACTAACCAAACAGGCAAACGAATTTGTTAATGAGTTAAGTTCATTTACTTTGGACATGTGCAATGGCCAACGAGGTAAAGTACAAAAGAGCTTGATATCATTCAAATCCAGAGTTTTGGAATATCTTCATGGCTGTATACAAAGAAAAGAACATCAGTTATTTTATTTCAAAACAAGACATGTACACTAGCTTGGGCACATTGTATATTAATTAACCCGTTTAGCAGCAATGCGCCCTACTTTTTTTTTCTACTTGTCTAACGCCAAGACGATTTTACTCGTCAATAGGGAAGCTCTGCTGCTTAATGGGCCGGTTAATGGTTAACAAGACATGTTCAACTTGCCAGATTGTTTGGTTAACCACATAATGTACAAGGCTCTACATCTGATGAGTAAAATTATTCAATATTAAAATATCATTTTTTTTATTTTTGCAGGATTCACCACTGATGGAGAATTCAACTCCCTGCGGACGCAAGGACGTAATAGACCAATATCCATTGTTGAGGTTATTAAAGAAGCAAGAAGGCTCGTTAAGTCCATCAAGGCAGAGGACATACAGAAAATGTTTACATTGGACCAAAATGGTAAGCATTTTGTATTTTGCAGTGCACATAAATATGAAAGCTCTGGCAAGATTCTTTGGACACACCTATATAATGAATTTATTTTAGAATACACACAAAAGGTTTTGAAGCCTTGCTTCAATGAATTCTGTATACTGTATTTTGTGTGTGTAGTTTTTTGTGGAAAACTTCACAAGTATTAATTTGGCAAATCTTTCGGGACATAAGCGCAATTACTGCACTTGTACCTAATTTAATGTAAACATGTTAACCACAAGTAATATCGCCCCAACATCTCATGTAGTAGCAAAATAAAAATTTCAACATCATCAGACGATAATACCCTTGAATGCTCTGGTTTGGATATTAATTTAATTAACCTACTATATTTATGCTCCTTATCAGAAAACGTAAAAATTGGCTCATACCTACTGAAACAATTTCAAAAATAATATTTGTAGATTGTAATTTTAATTAGGGTGTATTTCATTTAGGACAACCACTTAAACATCATTGTGCAATTCCCATTTGTGATTTGAACTGGTTGCAAGAATTTATGACAAGTAGCAAATTGACGTTGGCACAGGCCTGCTATATTTTGAGGTGGACACTGTTCCCATTTCAACATAATCCATGTCCATGGGTGAAAGGACGGGGTGAAACGACAGTTGAAGTATTACGATCTATCTTGGTCACATATGTTTTCCGAATGGAAGTGAATAAGTTAAAGGATATGCCAGAAGATCCCGCCGACTTCACATGTAACCTTTATCAACCGGAGTTGGATGATGAAGGATTGGAGTTTGTTCATCATAGGGAGGATCATAATCACCTCCTCAAACGCATAATTTCATGTCTTAGAGAAGGTCTTATTCCTGGGGTAGACACAAGGTACTTAAGGGATGCATTGCATGATCCATCAACAGGGCTGAGTATGAATCTTAACAGGGAAAAACAAGCAATCAGTTCCGGATTGTGAGAGGATTATTTGCAGTGGAGTGATAGCATTCCTAGAAAGAAAGGTAATGCCAGTGTCCATAACACAAAAACCTTCTACAAAGCAAGTTAAGCAATTGGCTTTTTCTCGATCTGAATCGAGCAGGGTAATGGGCATAGTCCCAATCAGCAAAGCATCTATGGAATTTGTAGAGGGGCATCAAATAGATAAAAAACCATAGATGTTTTGTGGTAACTACCAGTATCCTGCTTGATTGCATAGCAGAGAACCAACATCAATATGAATTGCTTTTATTTCAATTTGATATTGAAATTTCAAATATCCCATTTGTATTTTATCTCGGGACACAACAGATGTGCGGATGTGCTTAAGAAGATACGGAACTGCACAGGGCTTTTGACGGTAGAGGCCTATCTCAAACAGATCGCTCTAAATACTGCAAAGAAATGATGGCATGGATCCTCGATGACTGGATTCCTTGGCATAGAGAACAGACTATTGTTCTTTGGATCCAAACAGGTTAGTTGTGCAGATACTATTAATATCATGTTCTGAGGCAAGTTGTTTAAAATTGGCTAGAGTAGTAAATTATGGGCTAATACTGTACACACAAGTTTTATCCAAGATGAGTGCTAACTGTAATTTTGATTAAATATCTGGAGCTTTTTCAATTTTTGCCTCTTATCTGTACATACCTTACAAGACATTGTTATGTTCACCAGATTTTAATTCGTTGGTACAGGCCTAACACATAGGCAACACACTACATGTATGTTTAGCAGGGATGGATTTACTAGGGGGGGGGGTGCAGGGGGTGCTATTTTTCATGATAAAGCAAAAAATTATTAGAGACAAAATGAGATTCAGTAATTTGAGCAATAACATGATGATAAGCGAACTGTGAACAACAATTACAATTCAAATACTGTAGTCAAGCAAGACTTTGCAGAAGTGGAACAGGTTGCTAGACGGGTAAAGTCACTGGAAACCAATTGCAACGTGAGCAACCCTGTTTTAAGTATGGAAATGTGCCAGTAAACGAAATTACTACTATTGGTTTATGACTGTGAAAGAGCTTTGTGTTAGGGCGACTTATTGTGACTTACTCCATGGTGAATATATTACAGGGTAATTGCACAATTCTGTAATTTACTTAATTGTGTTTAGGTTATTTTAATTTCGCTTGTCTTTATCAGTAACTTCACAAAACACCTAGCTGCCATTTTGCAAATTTCGGTTTTGTTATATTCACATTATATAACAGCTTAGTACATCAAATTTACTTTATATTCACTTGTGCAAAAATACTAAAGCTAAATGAGCAAATATTCACCACTATTGAAGCCTAGCTAAGTTTAAGTACTTGTCTGATTATGAATATCACACATATTGATGAATGAAATTGGTAGTTGGTTATGGAACAAAGTTAACAGTATATTAATTGACCCAAATTTTGCAAATTGCAAATGAATACTTTAACAAACTATTTTACATATGTACAGTACTCTTGTGTTCAGCTACGCAATGGCCGGAACTGCCATCCACCAGATAGTGATATTTCAAGCTTTCCAAAACTATCCGTTTATTGGTGTAATCAAGACTGGAATTTCCCATTTATAAATTTGAGTAGTATTTAATAATTATGTAATGATTGTTTAATATCCATAAATGCATTTTCACAACTGCTTTATATCTGATGGATCGCACTATCCGGCCTTAAATACGCTTGACAAACTTAAACCACAATAGGGCCATTTATACGGAACAAAATAAGACGCGACTTAGATAAGACGCGACTTAAGTAAGACGCGAGTTTGTGGTATAAAAGGTACAAAATTCTTATGTAAGACGATAAGACGCGTCTTACATAAGAACAGGTCTTTTAGCTGTTCTTATTTAAGTCGCGTCTTAAATAAGAAATTTTGGACAAAAATTCTAACTACACATGCCAGAAACTTGAAACAACGTAAAATTTAAAGCCTTGCATATTAAAACAAAAACAACCAAAACAACATTATACAGTAGCTATAGCAAATAAATAAGACCAAAGCCGTAGAGAACCATTTATGCGATAACTCCACTTATTTAAGTCGCGTCTTATGTAAGTCGCGACTTATTTTGTCACGTATAAATGGCCCTAATGAACACTTCCTTAACTGCATTGCTGCTCAGAACAGTATTTGGCCATTAAACCATAAATGTCCAGTTAATGGGTTCTAAAAATGTATGATAAAAAGTATTTCACTTTGATGCACTCCACCATGTCTTCGTATGACTTTTCGACACTTTGGCTTAATAATTTCCTCCTTTCTTTATCCGTTAAATGGGCTTGTTGGGCTTTATTAGCAACGTCCTCCTTACGACTTTAAAGAAAATGAAAATTCTTTATAAACGTGGTGAGTGTGGTCATAGACAATCCAGAAGACAGGGACTGGAAACGCAAGCTAGAATATGATGACAAATCGTGACATCGTGGAGGGGGTATACTAACAAAGGTAGATACGTCCAAATTTTCATTTATTTCTATTTTATAGTGACGCTAAATGTAAAATTTGGATCGTGCTATCGGTAAATCGCGTACGCAGCAATTATTTCCAGAAAATACTGCCAAAACTAACCCTGTAACTACAAACTTAACCTGTTTTGTCTTTGACGATGAAGCCATTTGAAATCACAAGATTGTAATCTATCGAATAGGCTATTTTTTATATCAATTTGCTATCATATTCAGCCAAAAATGTTTACTGAATTTGATTGACACAATTACGAATGTTGTTCGCCGGCAATTGTTATCGTCATATTATTCTGAAAACTCGCTGGCAAAACCGAGGGCAAAACTAACCCTGTAACTACAAACTTAACCTGTTTTGTCTTTGACGATGAAGCCATTTGAAATCACAAGATTGTAATCTATCGAATAGGCTATTTTTTTATATCAATTTGCTATCATATTCAGCCAAAAATGTTTACTGAATTTGATTGACAGAATTACGAATGTTGTTCGCCGGCAATTGTTATCGTCATATTATTCTGAAAACTTGCTGGCAAAACTAACCCTGCAACTGAAAAATAAACGATTTTTGTATTTTGTGGTCAAAGTACTGTGTAATCACAAGATTGAAATCTATCGAATAGGCTTTTTTTTATATCAATTTGGTAACTTATTGGCCCAAAAATGTTTACTGAATTTGATTGATAGAATTACGAATGTCATTAGCCGGCAATTGTTATTGTCATATTATTCTGAAAACTTGCTGGCAAAACTAACCCTGCAACTGAAAAATAAACGACTTTTGTATTTTGTGGTCAAAGTACTGTGTAATCACAAGATTGAAATCTATCGAATAGGCTTTTTTTTATATCAATTTGGTAACTTATTGGCCCAAAAATGTTTACTGAATTTGATTGATAGAATTACGAATGTCATTAGCCGGCAATTGTTATTGTCATATTATTCTGAAAACTTGCTGGCAAAACTAACCCTGCAACTGAAAAATAAACGATTTTTGTATTTTGTGGTCAAAGTATGTGTAATCACAAGATTGTAATCTATCGAATAGGCTATTTTTTATATCAATTTGGTAACTTATTCGCCCAAAAATGTTTACTGAAAATTTGACGGCCAAAATTACTTTTGCGCCAACTAGAAGATGGCCATTTCTGTTGCCCCCACTTCGAACCCTGTAACTATAGTTTAATTATTAAAATAAAGTTCAGAGTTTGTAATTTACATATTTTGAACAAAAATAGACCTGTGGATGCAATTGTCCCGTTTTGAAACTTATATCGGGTCAAACAAAGCCAAAAACGTCCTTTGAATGCTTGCGTAATGTTTTTCACTGTAGAAAAGTCGCCATTGCCATTTGTTGTTGTCCGGCAAAGTTTGTACCGGCTAACTTCGAACCCTGCAACTACAGTTTAAATAAAGTTCAGGGTTTGCAATTTACATATTTAAAACAAATATAGACATGTGGATGCATTTCTCCGGTTTTTAAACTTGTATTGGGTCAAACAAAGGCAAAAACCACCTTTTAATGATTGCGTAATGTTTTTGACAGCAAAAAGTCGTCATAGTGCCATTGGCATTCTTGTTGGCATTGTCGAAAGTTAAGAGTGTTAAACATACAAAACTCACCGTTACAATAAGTGAAACCTTGTTTTTATTTCTTTTAAATAATGGATGCCTTAGCAAAAAGGGTTTTCGAGAAAGAAAGGATTTGTTGTCAATATTAAAAATGGAAGGTATATTAATTTAAAAACCGAAATTGCCAAATTCAAATTTTAAAATGTAGATCAAGGAAAACTTCGAAAAGATAACTTCAATCAATTTATATAACGTAATTACAGTGAAGCAAAATTGAATAAATATACGTAAACTTAATTAAAGTAAACTAAAATACGCAAACACACCTGAATTGTGCCTGAAAGCCCACCCCAAATTGGAAATCAAAATTTTGAACAAGCTCGAAAATTCTCTGCGCTCGTCTCTGAATATTAGCAGATCCGTTTTATAAACTTTACACACAATGTGATATACCTAACTGTCTCCCTTTTCGGTGTAGATTATTTAAACAATTTTCCAGTATATAAAGAGCTGTAAAACAGCAGACAAGTACCGGTCCACAATCTATCGCTTTATTCTTTTTCGAAGCAACAGGCGCCATTCAGTAATTCACTCACATGGCATGATTGGCATGCAAGCGTCACTCAAGCACATCACGGACGGCACGCGAAAAACATTAGGCGTTTCCAATCCCTGTCTTCTGGATTGTCTATGGTGTGGTGAATCGAATCACTTATCGAAATCTGGAAAGTGTAATGTTAAATGACATAAATACATATAATAAATATACACTATAAGGGGGGGGTGGGGGGGTTC